TCCTGTGATTAAAGTTTAAAGCTCATAAATTATTTCGTCCCTGTTTTTTTAGTACGTATTAGCAACGCTATTTTGTTTCCTTTGGTGACCTGGAAATCCGTGGGGACATCCTGCAAATGAAGTTGACTTTGTCCTTAATTGACTCCAAAACTAAAAAGTTAAATCACAGAATTAAATTAAATTCCCCTTTACCTTGGGTGTAAAGTTTACTTATTTCAGACCACGTATCATTCTCTTTAGAATAAGGGGATCATCTCCCGGTTCAACAGCCTATCCCTGTCTGGAGGCATAACACTAATGTACTAACAAATCACTCATGATTGTAAGCTGCACGGCTGCTACTAGCGCCTTGATAGTGCAGTTTTCGTATGACTGTGAAAAGCTCACGGCACGAACACGGTCGTGACACAGCAAGGGATACGCCAGACCAATCACACTGCACGAGAATTTACTCTCCATCCAATCCAATACCCGGAACACGGCATAAACCCGGCGCGGACACGTTCACGCCAGGATCACGGCACTTTTAGATCAATCATATTGCGCGTGAAAAAAATCAGCCAATTAAAATTCTAGAAAGTATCACGGTCACGGCACGTCACGCTTACGGAACTGAGCTTTTCACAGTCATACGAAAACTGCACTATGCAGCCCGTAAAGTCCTCCACTGGTGATAAACGTTGTATAAATGCGCGATATGAGAACCTTCCATTATTATCATGATAAGATTTTTTGTTTGAGTTGTATCCATATTCATGTGTCTTCTCGAGCGCAACCGTTAAACACAAAAATGATACTCTAGGGAATGACACGTGGTCTGAAATGGGAAACCAGTGAATTGGTTTATAGACCTAATACTTGAAAAAATCTTTCAATTGGCTTACAGACCTCTGCCTTGGGTATAAGGTTTTCCCATTTCAGACCACGTGTCATTCTCTTGAGAATAAGATTCTTTGTTTGAGTTGTATCCATATTCATGTGTCTTCTCGTGCGCAAACGTTAAACAAAGAAATGATACTCTAGAGAATTACACGTGGTCTGAAATGGGAAAATATTATGCCCAAAGTAAAAGGATCTATTTGATGGAGGCTAATAATCCAAACGTAATGGAAGATATTAGTTACACTCTATTGCATTCAAACAATGTACTACTTTGACGATACGGCGGCCATCTTGTCAGGGGACAAAAAAAAAACACCCAAGATTACGGAAAATGTGTAGCGTTTAGTGTGTTAAGGACGTTCATGGGCATTGTTTGCGCGCATCCTTTCTACGCATGATTGTAGTGAGCGCGCGCTCAACGTGATGACGTCATTCCAATGTTTTGATAAGCAAAATCTCATGAAAACGTCTTTCATCTCTTATAGCTCTAAAACGAAGTCGGGGACCCACCTTTTTATTTTATTTTTTGAAAGTACTTTATAATACTCAGCTTTAGGGGAAAAACAAAAAACAATTTGACGACGGGATCAAATCGAAATTACATATTTTGTGCGTARTTGGAGTAGAATTTTACGTAGCGTGAAGGCTCCAAGACCACTCTTGTAGCCCAATAGTATTTCATATTTCTAGCTTTTTAACACAAATTTTAAAAGTTAACGAATTATTTGGTTTTTGTAGAGTTCTGGTTGAAATGGGGACGATCAATTCATTTTTTCAGTAAAATATGGCTTATAGTTTTTGACAGCTTTCCATGTCTACGTTGTTCGCGCGTTTTTACCGTAAAAAGGGTGAACTTCCATTTTTTATTTTACTTCTAGTATGAYGTAGATTTATCATACAAAATTCAAAAGAAAAATCTGACGATGGGAACTTTTACCCATGATCGTCCTTTAAAATGTTATAATAATTTATTACTTAGATACCCCTATTTAATATAGCAGATCAATAGCGCTTTACACAACAACAACAACAACAACAACAACAACAACAAGAACGTTTTTATTGTACCTAGAATTACATGCATATTTACAAAGAAAATTTAAATAACTATAAGTACAGGCCCTAGCTAATAACTATAAAACTAAAAATGCGCTAGGACCATAGATTACATACATGTATATACTTATTTCAATAAAGTTAGTCACCATAAACCTAGAAAGCTGTGATCGCTGAGAATCATGGAAGCTTTTGACACAAACTGCAGCAGTTGAGGATGCTCAGAGGAGGTTAGCTTGTAACTGGTAGAAGATCTCAAGTCCATGAACAGTTATCAAGCGGCTGAAACATGTAAATGCATCTACCCATAATCCTTGTCGGTCTCAGCTTTGTGGCTTCTTAGGTGACTAACTTTATTAAAATAAGTCTATACAGCTATTTCCAAAAAGGTTGAATACTGCATACTGCATACTGAATAGTGCATTCCAAGACCAAAGTGCATTGTTGGTCATAGTGACATTGTCTAAAGTAGGATTGATAATAATTATTTATTCTATTGTTAGTGTATTCCATCTTAAACAATATACTAACTACATGTAGAGAGTTAATTGCTGTATATTTCCTTTTTTTTTCGAGTTAACGAGACCCACAATGTTAATATCAATCGACGTCATTACTGTAACAAAGCTTCGTCTATTTGCCCCCTGGACGCCCCGTAATGCCTTTTGATCCAAGATAGCCGCCGTATCGTCCAAGTAGTCTATTGTTTAAGTCAAGGCATTTGGGTCAAGACTTTGGACTTAATGTTATTCACTGACTTATACAAGTATATGTAGATCAATCCTGGGCTCTTACAATTAGCATCTGCCCTAAAATAGGGAGCTTCATATTCATATATTTTTTATTACATTCAAAGCGGCTCAAGCTTACCCCCCTAKGCTCCATTAATGGTATCATTATTAGAATATTGACTTTCATTATTCTTACTTAGATTACGAAATCTTAGGATTCAAAATAATAACTAATTAAAAGCTCGAATTCTGATTGGATCATGGTGTTCCTCTCAATGTATAATCCAATCAGAATTCGAGTTTTGATTTGGTTATTATTTTGAATCCTGAGTCTTTGTATTTTCA